GGCCGAGCCCACCACTTTGGGGACGCTGCTGGCCACGTCTGTGCTGCCCAGCTTGAGGGCCGCCATGCCCTGGTCCAGGGTGTTCATGCCGGGGGCCTTGTTCAGGGTCTCGCTGGCGAAGGCCGACTGCCCGTCGATCATGGCCCCCCCCAGCGAGCTGGGGGCGTAGGCGTAGTTGCTGCTGTAGCCCGAGCTCTGAGTGGACTGTCCCTGAGAACTGTTGTTGCCCCAGGCTGAGAAGTCGATCCCGCTGGGGAAGAAGTTAAAGCCGTGCTGCCCGAGGAAGGGGGTGCTGCCCAGGGCCCCTGGCTGCCCGAACATGGCGTCGGGGAGGAAGTGGGGCTCCCCGTTGCTCAGCTGTCCGTACGAGGTCAGGTAGGGCATGGGGGGGTCTCCCCCCGTGGACCAGGCAGCCTCCCCTAGGGAGTAGGAGAATCCGATGGAGGGGCTGAAGTAGCTCGGTAAGTAGGAATCAGACATTGCAGTGTATGCATTGTTCTGAAAGGAAACCACAAAAACATGAGTGCTGGGGAGCCAGGAGGAGCTGAACCCATTTCAAGGGACCAGGAATAAAGCCAGCTTAAGGCTTCCCGTGCCCCACCCCTCCCTACCTTAGGGCTGGGCAGATAAACAGTCCCAGCCTTGAACACCTCCTTTGTTACAAGGGCTCGAAAATCTGTTTTATTGCCAGAAAGGTTAAAGACAAAGGCTCAGACAGCTTCCCACGTGGAGTTCCTGCTGCATGGAGTGGGCCTGGACACTGAGCTGCCCCAGAGCTCCTGCTCAGGCTTTAAAACCACTGTCTTACCTTGCATCCAAATATCTTCTGTTTGTAGCTACTCTCAACGAGGGCTTTTCTTGCCTGTGTAACATATTTAAACCTTATTCTAGTGTTAGAGGGAAAACTTGTGGGAAGGATGCAGGCAGAAGTGGAATAAGGAGGAAAAAGATCCAGTGGAAGCACACTGCCAAAATTATGTGTCCTTAATTGCCTTCCTAAAACTTACTACCCACGAAAACAGCTTTATTCCCACAATTTAAAGTTGCAGAGCTCACAGTATTCCAAGAACTTGCAAACAAACAGGGATTTAAAGCCTATTCCTCAGAACACCAACTGCTCCAGTGCCGTGGGCCCATACTAAAAAACACCTGAAAATGAGGAGTAATCCACAGGGTCTCAAGAGGAGCCTTTTACAGGCAGCAGCACGAGCAGGTTTCAAACCCAGAGAGCAAAAAAAACCAATCCCTGCTCTGTGCCTTGGTCTCCCTTTTAACATCCAAGTAGCCTTTAGGTTACAAAAACAAACGCCTAATTTGACAATTAGGGAAGTCTCAGACATCCCCAAGATTTGCTTACATGAAAAACCATCTGTCATTTCCCATTCCAAGCCAGGTCCCCTCCGGGGAGCGGTTCCAGCCGCGCTAATGGACATTATCCTCAGTAATTTGAACCTGGGAGCAGCAGCCTCGTGCTGCCCCAGCCCCTGACAAGCCAGCCCAGTGCAAGGCAGATCAAAGGCAGGTTCAGCTCCCAGTTAAAAGCCTGGCTTTGCAGCAGGGCCCTGCTCCATTTCTGGTTGAATCATGTTCTCACGTGCCAAGCGCGGCTCCCGGAGGACTTCATGCCGTGCTGAGATCCAGGGAGCCTCTCAAGATGGCTCTGGCACCCTCCAGAAACAGCTGGTTTGCCACTCTACCGTCCACAGGGTTGCAGGAAAGCAACAGGTTTGGGGCCAACCCAGCCTCGAGTTCACAAACATTAACAGGAATTATTTAATGTTAATGTGCTCAGAGACAAGATTTCTGTGGTACTTCACGGTGTGAAGGCATGAAAACTCACAGAGATGCTCCCTCCAGCCTTTGTTTTCCCACAAAAGCCTCCAAGTTAATAACAAAACTCACACCCACCCTGGGTTTTACTAATTGAGGAACTGAGTCCTGCTAAACCCAAGGCCTAACCTGCCCAAAAGCACCAACACTGACAAGAATTTGTGAGGCAAATGAAAGAACTGAAACCCCCACATTATTATTTTGAACCAGCAAAGTCTCTTCCCAAGTTAATCCCCTCAGTTATAAGAGTAACATTTGCCCTCCTAAAACTTCCTTTAATGGAACAGGAACATGCTGGGCCACCCCTAAACCCAAGGCAGAGCTGTTTCCTCTCCACAAGAGCACAGGAAGCACATCACTGTCACATTAAAACCTGTCCCCTTGTCACCTCAACCATACCAATAAAACTCCACCAGCTTCTCATTCTCTCCATGACTAAGACTTTTCACACAGTTATTTCCTCAAACTTGCTGTTCCCCTTCACCTAAGAGCAGAACTAAATGAACCTGACCTAGTGTTTATGTGAGTTTCTGGTTTTTAAAGGGCTGAAGAATCATTCACTGCATATCTTTTAAAATACACAGTAACCTCATCGAGGGGCTGACAGTAACAGTCACACCTCCAAGAGCAGCTGGGGAATGAGGAACAGTGAAACTGCACAACTTGGTCACCCCCTGTGAGTGTGGAGAGCTTGGAAAGCAACCCCAAAATTCCTTTAACTCCTTATCCAGAGCCATATCTCTGACTTCTCCCTTTGCCACCTCCAGCAACTTTGTATTTTTGAGCAGAACTGTGCCTCCCTCCAGACTCAGCTCTCGGGGTTTGGATTCTATTTTATGGAGCTGAGAAGCACCACAGCACAGTGAGGAACTGAGACAGAGTCACCCAAAGGTCCCACTCCAAGATAACTCGGTGGTTTCACCTCCTTCCTGGCTCAATTTCTGCCTCCTGGGGCACCTCCAATCACTTCCTGATTTTTAAAATGTGTTTTTCCCAGTGCAAGACACACCAAAAGAAATTAAAGATCCAGAAGTTCTTCATCAAACATGAAAAATGGGGTAAAATATCGTGTTGCTTCAAAATTGTAGTAACCTCATTCCCTTTAGGACACTTAAACACAGAAAATACCATCCACATTCAGAAGGAAGCTGGAAATTAGGGATGTTGATAACTGGGATAGAAAAAAACCCCACCATTAAATGACAGCTACTGGAAAGGTAGCTGGTTTTATTCAAGATTTGAGAAAGTAATCACACTCTCTCACTCTATGAAGGCTGAATTTAGGCTCGTTAACTTTTTAGGGAGCAGAATGCAGTGAGTTATCTTGATGGACATGTGAACTCTGAAGATTATGAACAGCTGACAGGACATAAAGAACATTTACCCTCAGACCTTTAGCACAAAAAATGAAAATACTTGTTGAAAATTTCACTGAGACAGAAACCTGTGTCCTAATAAACAGGCATCACTTTTACATGAAAAAAAATGATGTACTGACTGGTAAAAATGAGCAAAAATACAGAAAGGGGAAACCAGAAGAGCTTATTTTTACTGATCACAACTGGAAAGAGAAGCCAAGAGAATGAACTGAGAGCTCTGGTGCTATTACAGATGTTTATCTATGGTGCTCACTTGTACATCTAATCAGCTGAAGTCCATCTGTTCTGTGTCACTCCCCTGCAGCTCATTAAGGAAAACAAACAAAAACCAGTTAGCAGGGGAGCCAGTCTAAGGGAAAGTGAGGAGGAAAAGTAGGTGGGAGCCTGAATTCCAGGGGCTGGTCACAGACCCTCCAGCTCGACTTGTAATCGGGGTTCTCAGGAAGTCTCAACACTCTTTATCACACGTGGGCTCTGGGTTTTGTTTTTGGGTGTTTTTTTTGGTGACAAACAGAAATTCCCATGACAGGCACTGTCAGTTGACTCGGTGCAGAGATAAGAAGGTTGATCTGATCCTCCAAAAGCCCTGCTGAGAAGAGCAGCCTCGTGTGAGGTGACTTCCCAACCCAGCTCAGCACATCTGTGTGGTGCAAAAAGAGCCAAAACCCAATACAGGCACAACAATAAAACTGAAAGAGCAGAAATGGTGACTTGGAGATTGAAAAAAAAGGAGCTGAACACCACGTGGAGGAAGTTCTCACAGCCTCAAAAAGTTGCTAAACCCCTTCCTACCTCACCCACCACCACAACCTAAAGGCAGAGTCAGTGCTTCCTGCCTGCAGGAAATGCAGGTGTAGGGTGGGAAATGCAGGTGTAGGGTGGGATATAAGGTGCTGGCAAAGATCAAAATGCAGCCAGTGGAGGTGGGGAACACACACAAGGAGGCCAAATTCCCCTCTGCTGGAGCAGCAGGAAACCAGCAGGCTCCTGGTACTCACCGGGCGGGCCTGGGGGCTCAGGTAGGGCTCAAAGTCATCATCATTCAGCCCATCCTTCTGGTGCACAGAGCCGTTTTGCACTGAGGAGAGACGTGAAACTTCAGAAAACAACACGCAACGAACTCCCAACGTTTACCGACTTAAAGTATTTAAAGCCAAATCCTGTAATACAACGAACTCCTGCCGGTTCTAACACACCGCGCACGGCACAAACAACACCCGCAAACTTCCTGCAGCCACGCGGGGCTCGTTCCCCTCCTGGCTCCCGACAGATTTTGGGGAGACCCTCCTTCCTTCCCTCCCTCCCCCGCGTTCCCAGCCCTGCCCAGGGCTCTCACCTTTGTTGCCTTGGCCCTTGGGTCTCTGGAGCAGCGGCGGCGTGGGGGGAGAGAAAGAGGGAGGGAGAGAAGGAGAGCGGTGAGTCAGGGGGAGAAGCGGCTCCGGGAGGGGCAAGGACGAGCCCGGGGGGAGGGAAACAGACCCGGCCTGGGGGAAGGGGAGGGTCAGACCCGGCTCTGGAAGCGTGGAAAAAAGACCCGGGGGTGGGGAAAACAGACTCGGCCAGTGGGAAGGGGGGAAAACACACCCGGGGGCTGAAAAACGGAGCCAGCCCGGGGGGAGGAAACACGCCTGGCCCAGCGAGGGACGCCCAGGCCCGGCGGGGACGGACCCGGTCC